ATCATTCCCCACAACCTCTGCTTGGAGACTAGGAGAAACCTTAAAATAGTTTAGTTGACCTTGAATTACAGCTATTCAAATTATCCCTTTCCAACAGCAACACTCGTCTGTACAGATTCAGGGCGACCACATCAAGGATGGAAGCCATTGGGGAAGGCTTTCCTACAGCGGCCATCCTGAAGAGGGCCAGTCGCAGAGATGTGCGTGTGTACATGTATGTCGGTAAGTCCCATTATCAGTACTAATAATCTTTTGAATTTTCTGTCATCATGAAGTCGTTTCACAAAATCAAGGACTCAAGCCAATCTAGTGTAGCCAGTCATATATAGAGCATGCAGGTGGAACGGAATATTGTACATTATGCATTTTCGGTCATTGTAGTCGTTGCGACTTGTGTTGTTCTTGACATTTCTCTTGGAGTTGTCTGGCTGCAAAGATCATGTCCACTGTGCCTCTGCCAGCTCGGAAGCCACACTGGCTCTCCGGAAGGTGACCTTGTTCAAGGTGTTTGATGAGGCGGTTTAGAAGGATTCTTGCTAGGATCTTGCCGGCTATGCACAAGAGTGAGATGCCACGGTGATTGTCGCAGGAGTGACGGTTTCCTTTCCGTTTGTAGATGTGTACAATAGAGGCATCTTTGAAGTCCTGGGGGATTGTACCTTTCTCCCACATGGCACAAAAGATGTCAGTTAGCTTCTGGGTTAGCACATGTCCTCCAGACTTGTATACCTCGGCTGGAATGCCATCGAGGCCTGGCGCTTTTCCGTTGCTCATTTGGCTGATGGCCTTCTGAGTCTCGGAGAGGGACGGCAGTATATCCAGCTCTTGGTTAACTGGGATCTGTGGGAGACGTTCAATAGCTGCATTGTTGATGTTGGATGGGCGGTTTAGGACAGCTTCGAAGCGTTCAGCCCACCGATCCAGAATCTTGGCTCGATCTGTGATGAGTGTTGCCCCATCAGCACTAAGGAGAGGGGACGAGCTTGAGGCTTGGGGTCCATACAATGCTCTAATTCCGTCGTAAAAACGTTTAGAGTCTTTCATATCAGCATAGGCTTGGATTTCATCCGCCTTTTTGCTGAGCCAGTCATCCTGCATCTGCCTGAGACGGTTCTGAACTTCTCTACGAATGTTAGTGAAGGCAGTCTTTTTGGCAATTGATGCAGGGTCGTTCATGGCGAGTCTGTGGAGATGGTGCTTTTGAGCCAGTAGGGATGAAATCTGTGGGTCGTTCTCGTCGAACCAGTCTTGGTTCTTCCGCTTTGTTGAACCCAGGTGCTCAAGGGCTGTTGAATACACAGTTTTCTTTAGTGTCGACCAATCGTCCTCCACAGAGGATTCACCCATGCGGAGATCTTTCAGTTTTCTGTTGAGATCATTAGCAAGCTCTACTGAGGTCTCCTCCTGCTTGAGTTTGGTAGTATCCAGTCTGGATACTACACGTGTTGGCGTGTAAATGTAGGTTTGAATACTCTTCTATATAAGACATTACAATGATAAAGGCCTAGTTCAGCACCAAGGGCAGACTTTGTATGTGTACCATACATTGCTTCTGCATAGTAAAATTCCTCAAATTCAGTGGTCCTATGTATATATTTGTACAAATATAAAATATATACATGAAGTCTCACCTCAAACATCATGGTCATGTGTTCTGTGAGTTTGATGATCTCTCCACTGCTGAGACAGAGTTTCTTGTTGTCGTCCAGTACTGTGTTCATGTTCTCAATCCACACAGCGTCCACAGGACCATCAAACATGTACCTGTCAGGACACAGACAAGTTTAGAATTACTTCATGCTTGTTTGGACTTCCTTGTATGACAATACACATAACATCCCGTTTATAGTTTTCAAATGTCATGTCAGAAGAGATGTTGATGAGATGCAAAATTCTGAAGCAACAATGACCAAACATTGTGCTACAGTACTGCAGAATTGTTTTAACCACGTATGTTTAACACTGAAAAAAAAACAACTCCCTTTTCCTGTAGGTCTTCACAAGTATGCAAATTAGTAGCCTCCAACTCTCCACAGGTATGCAAATTAGTTATCAAACATGCAAAGTAGTGAGAAATATGCAAATTTCACAGGTTCATAAAGTGATTAGGAAAGCTTAAAATAACAGTGACATACAGTTCAGCACCAAGGAGAGACCTACAAGCTATGATTTACATCAAAACTAAGTTTCTCAGAGTTCAAACAAGCTACAATAAAGTAAGACCACTGCAAACTTTAAGTACATGAATTTACAGACTGAGTACAGTACAGGGAACCTACCAGCGCTTGTCTGAGTCCGTGGCAGCGGTGCCCTCGCGTACCAGGGTGGACAAGATTCCGTCTGTCCACTCGTGGGTCAGCAGGTCAAACTCTCCGTACAGCTGACCCATGGTGATGGACTTGGGGTTCACCACGTTCACATGCACAGCCTCGTACACACCCCCTCCTACTGCTGGCTCGCCCTTGGGAGGGGGGGGGAGGGGGAGAATAGAATACAGTGAATACAGTACAGCATTACATTAGGCCACACCAATTTAATTTCTTGGTTAACGGATTCGCCTCTTCATTTTTTTCTGATTTGCAAATAAAAATAAAAATTCAGAATCAACTGCAAAATGCTCATATTTTGCCCTGAACAGTTGAAAACAGTCCTTTTCATCCTACTTGTTACAGTTATTCCATCTTTCAATGCAATGGTATCATTAAAAGTTCAAAATTCAATTAGTTTAAATTTTGAACCAGCCTGGTGTGTTGACTTCATGGCTCCTATCGTACCATTTTGGGCCATAATAGGATGCCTAGGCCTGTTTTTATTTTATTTTTTTTCGCCCGCCCGCTCCATTATTTTTCTGGAAAAATCCGTTAACCAAGAAATTAAATTGGTGTGGCCTTAACTTCTCTTCCCACTTGTTTCCCACTTGTGCAAAAGTCATTGTAAATCATGCTCAAATTGCAATAATTATTGAAAGCTATATGTAAAAGCCATGTAACATTTGGTTAACCGTGTGTAAACCATACCGTATGTGATATGTTGTATTATATATACCACATGCACTATGTTAATAATAGATTGAGAAAAAATAGGAATGTTTGATTTCAATTTCTGGTTGTGGCACATTTTAGAGGTAAAGGACAAAAATTATGCTTGTTCAAATTTGCACAAAGTAGGTCTTGCGTGAAGCTTGTGGGTAACTTATTTAAAAAAATTAAAGCTTTTCCCTTCTATGATGCATTGATAGTTGCAAAATAATTTCATTTTCTTCTTTTTCTAAGCTTTTGGCAATTATTCTGCTGCATTAATTTTATAGTTTATAGTACTTCATTTCAACACAAAGAACAAATTTTGTACCTTCAAGGCAGTCATGGCTGCCTGTAGTGTCTTGTAGCACATGGTTTTACCAGAACATGTCGGCCCAACCAACATGAGACCATGTCTCACCACCGTAGTCTCATACAGCTGGATACACTTGGTTATGAAACCTATAGGGGGGAGGGGGGCAAAAATTAGTAACATTGCAAACATGGAAAGTTAAACTTTTCTATGAGATATTTTACTGTTAAATGAGAGTTTAGAGGTTATGAAAGAAGCATGTAGGGGAAAATAATGGATGCTACAGCCAAACAGCATTATTTTAGTCAAAAGTATTTGCATTGCGATAACTTTAGAAACAATGTTGCAGCAAGTATATATATTATAAGCATATTTTTTATAAAAAAATTAGCTGTTTTTAGCAAGCTACTAGCAGCAAGCGATATACATTGTATGATGTTATAGCAAAACAAGGAAAATGTACACGTACTGAATTATAATATGTATCAGTAAAAGCTGCATAATATGCGCAAACTATAAATAGTAGCTAACAAACAAAACTGTAACTAAAAACAAAAAAAACAGGGTTAGTATAAAAAGCAGCAAGATTATTCCCAGCTCGCAGCTTAACAAGGGTTAAAAACATCACATGGGTTATGGAATAAACAACACAAATGCTAAAATGAACCAAAAACAAAATAACTGTTAGTTACAGAAAAAAATAAACACATATGAAACATATAATTGTATGTCTGACTAGTAACAAAGACATCTAAATCTGCACCAAAAACAAAACAATTGTTAGTAACATATTGTACATCTCACTAATAACAAACTAAAACATCTAGTCCCTAACACCTCTGTCCCTAACATAACTACATGTACTCGACACATTTCACCATAAAAACGACCTCATACCAACCTTTCTGTACCTTTCAAAGCAACAGAATCATAAGTAGCTGACTTGCAATAGAGAGAATAAGACTCAGGCCTGGAAATTCACTTTTTTCTTATTGTCCCGAAAAGATATTTCAGTTGTCCCGAAGTGAGGTTGAACTATCCGAAACTATTTTTTGGGAAGTACTAGTATGTATGACAGCAACTTGAAGTCAACTTTATTTTGCTTACGTTCTGACTCCCAGGCACACTATAACTGCAGAGTGGACAGGAAATTTGGGGGGCTTTATCAAGACAAAAGTCGGGCTGATATTCTAATGTTGATTATTTTTCTATTGTCCAAAAAATGTCCCAAAGTGACTTTTCAGGTGTCCCTGCCTAAATTTTAGTAGTCAGTGGCCATTGGGACAATGTTAATTTTGAGCCCTGAATACTGTGCTTTTTTCTGAAGTGTATTTCACTACAATTCTGTTACCATGAAAATCAAAATGTCTTTTTTTTTCTACAACAAGAAAGCAGCTTATGATTCTAATGCGTCTATAGTGTACTTGTCCTATACAGTAGACTTTGGGTGCAGGATTTTTTAAACAGTGCAGTCTCACCTAGTGAACCTGTAAAGAAAAAAAGCAAGGCAAGCAGAGCATGTTAATGTTATTTTACAGCAGCTGTTGTGGTGGTTATGCAGTGAGACTTAGTGACAAGGTTTTTCAGCATGGATTTTCAGGAAATTTTGTGATTTTTTAAAAGGGAAAACTTTGTGTTTGTCTTTGATAAGAAGCATTTCGGGGGAACACTCTTGGTCAAATGTGATGTTTTGATGAAAAAAATACAGTAAAAAAAATTGACAAAAAAGGTAAAATTAGTTTAGCTTCAAGTGAGAAAAAAAATTATGGTTGCTGAAAAGAAACTATGTTTAAAGAGGAAATACCATGGTTACGAAACAAAAATCATTGTTCAAGGGCAAAACAATATGGTTCAAGGACAGAAATCATGATACAAGTGAAAAAATCACGGTTTTGACATTTTTTGTGTTGGGTCTGTCCTTGGTGCTGAAAAGAACATACAATAACTTTGCATCTGCACACCAAGTCTTTCAAAATCTTGTGTAGCATTTTTCTTCTTGACTTGAAGTTTGCATGACAAGAAATTTGATGGTTTACAGGTGCAGTTAAGAAAATCATTGGAAATGGGTACAGTACAGCTGTAGTAATACAGAGTGTGGAGAGAATAATCTCAACAAATATCATATCAATTTGCTTCGTGAAAAACACATTGAACTAGGGTCCAAATGTACTTTTTATGGGTTCACCACACCACGAAGTGGTGGTGAACCCATATTGCTTTTTCTGATGTTTCTTCTCCTTCTCCTTCTCCTTCTCCTGCCATTTTTTAAATGGATTCAGCTTCTTCATTTTAGGGCCTAAGGTCCTGAAATTTGGTATGGATATACAGTGGGCAAATACCCCTAGGCGTTTTTTAAATTTTTGTGATACAGGCTTTTAGAATGGTTTTATTTGAGTTTTTTGGCTGTGTTATAGCAAATGTATTACTGAGTTAGTGTGCAGTGTTACCACATTTGGACATGAGTCATCACAATGGAATGCAGGGCATCAACCAATAGGCATGCAGCTTTCCTCTATTCTCCTTGCTGATTGGCTGTTGGAATTTAACAGGCTTAACTTAATTAATACCTGCTCAGATCCATTCCATACTGACAGTATGTCTGTATTCAAGTGTTTTGGTAGGTATTTCAAGCTTTCCTGCTCCAGCATTGGAATGCGGGGCATGAACACTTCTTTTTTTCTTGAAAATCAACAGTTTGCATTATGCAATTAAAAATCCTAACCAATAATGTAGGGAATAGCTATCCAACTGTTGTAGTCTTAGTTGTATGTTACTTCATACTATAGTTATATCAATGTAAAGCATTGTTTTCCCTTGTGTTTCTCATTCTTTCCCTGCCATGTCGTAAAATGTGGTGAAGCCATTGCTGTATTTGCTCCAAAGCAAATGTCGGCCTTTCTAGTTATCAGCTAAAATTCAATTTCTTGATGACAACAGCCAATGAAATAATTTGTGCTGCAACAAGTGCATTTTACATTGTATCTGGATTTGAAAATACCACTTTTACAAAAGTCAAATTTTCGGTCCTACAAAAAGATACCTCCACACAGAGTTGCAGTGATAGCTTAATCACTCAGCATGGACAACAGCATTTTTAGCAAGCACACTCAGCATGTCTTAGTGTAGTTTCAAGTTTACAAAGCTGTGGCAGTTTGTGTCAGTGAGATGATGCTCGAAACACACAAGCATGTGGCAAGTGATACAACAAACGTGTGATGGCTCTTGCGTTAGGTTTAGGTTGTGAGCAAAGCAGCATGTAGCATAGTAACACACTTTCTGTATACCTTAAGGTATTGAGGCTGAAAGTTGTCTCTACTGATCCTCTATTGGCCCTTCTAAGTAGTACTCAATCATTGAATCAAGTCAATGTATGCGACAATGTTGAGGTTACCATGATAAACTTTGGAAAACTCAAATTTCACATTTGTAGATGGATACCACTGATCCTTCTATTCAAGATACATGAAAACTTGGAAAAAGCGTGAAAAAATAATCAATTTTGACTTCTTTAAGTTGTTTTAGACTTACCATCAGGTCCTGAATGATGTAAGCACAAAAACGGGAAAAAGTTTGGAATTTGTTATTTTAGATTTTATCAAACTATTGGTGCCCTGTGTCTTTTGGATTATCTTTGGTACATTATGTGCACATTTATGTTGATATCTTGAACATGCGATGTGCAAATATATTAGAGGTAACCCAAAACAAAAATTTTCCACCTTTCAATCAATGACACTACATGCACTTCTAAAAATATTAAATACCAAAGCTACATGTACAAATAAAAAGCTCAATAACACAACTATAGGTAACAAGACATAGATATGGTCTACTATAGCTAAGAGTTTTAGAGTTGTTTCTAAGATCTCACCTCGCACATCCTTGATGCCCAGTTTCTCACAGCTGGCGACTAGCGAGGAGTCCAGAGTGCCGTAGTCGATCGGTTCCTCCTTGATCTTTGGGAACAAGTCCGACACGATACCTGTTTGTGCAAGTACACAGCACTTGTCAAGTACAGTATTTACAGTTTATTTCAAAGGTAAAGTGAGTTCTGTGTAACAGAGAATCTTACATACAAATCAGAATTGAGGTCTGTCCTAGGTGCTGTGCTGAACTGCACATCTAACAATTAACAATCATAAACTTATTCTTGTAGCTTGTTTGAACTCTGAGAAACTGAGTTTTGATGTAAATCATATTTGCATACCAGTGGAGGGTTGGAAGCTACTAATTTGCATACCTGTGAAGACTTTGAGGCTAATTATTTGCATACCTGTGAAGAGTTACAGGCTACTAATTTGCATACCTGTGAAGAGTTGGAAGCTACTAATTTGCATACCTGTGAGGAGTTTGAGGCTACTAATTTGCATACCTGTCAAGAGTTACAGGTTACTAATTTGAATATCTGTGGAGAGTTACAGGCTACTAATTTGCATACCTGTGAAGAGTTACAGGCTACTAATTTGCATAACTGTGAAGAGTTACAGGTTACTAATTTGCATACCTGTGAAGAGCTTGAGGTCCTCCACCAGGAACTTTGGCACGTTGACGTCCTCATTCATGTCAGGGTGTTCTCGTTTCAGGTTACCCGCCGCCGAGATCACGGTCTTCACCGCTCGCATACCGAAATCGTAGTGGTCCTGGGATGGATACGAAAATATATTTGTTTGAACCGTCTTACAACCTATCTGCTTTAAGGTAGCATTTCTTGTGTTCTTAAAATAATGTATATTGTTAAATAGGAACGATAAGATTATGACTAATCGGTAAAATACCTAATGCCAACAGTTTTTAAAAATTTAAAAAGTATGCAATTCAGCCTATGGCTGTAATGTGCTTTTCATATCCGATTGAAAATGATCAAATAAACCATTCATTCAAGACACCAAACCCAGGGCTCGAAATTAACGGTGTCCCTATGGCCAGTGACCAGTAAAATTTAGGCTGGGACAACTGAAAACACACTTTGGGACATTTTTGGGACAATAGAAAAATGATCAACATCCGAACGTCAGCCCTTCTTTCATTGATCAGGCATGCGTCCTAGCTTTTGGCTTCAGAAAAGCCCCCGAAATTCCTTGTCTACTCTGGAATTATAATGTGGCTGGGAGTCAGAACGTAAGAAAAACAGGTTTTCCCAAAAACCAGGTAAGACAGTACATACTCACCTTGGGACAATCGAAATTTACTTTCGGGGAAAATAAATCGGGACGGGACAATAGGAAAAAAAAGTTAATTTTGAGGATTGCAAACCTACCTGTGAGCTGAGCTGTTCAGATGACAGTTTGAACGTCGTGGTGATCTTCTTCGCCAGCACCTTGGCGTCCGAGAACCCGAAGGAGTAGAGCGAGATCTCGGCGATCATGGCGTAGTCGGGCACCATCATGGCGACGGGACGGAACAGGGCCTTCAGGTTGTCTGGCAGCTCCGTACGGCCGGCGTACCCGGGGTTCATGGTGATGAACACAGCACAGGCCGCTTTCAGGGCGATCTCTACCCCCTCAAACATGAACCGGTCCAACTGAGGGAAGAGTAGAGGAAGGAAAAAGGGTTTAATAGAAAGCTTATACCACATATTTATTATGTTTAAGTTCACAGAATGAAAACATATTGTTTTTGCACTGTTTCTTGTTCTTCTCCAAACACACAACGCCAATGGTCTGGGCCGAATGTCTATTGCCATGGTAACTGGTGCTGTAGCAGACACCCTGTGGTGTTGGGTTACATTTTGTAGCAACTGGAAGGAAAGAGCTGGAGGGGCTGGTCATTACATGTATAAAATTCTAAGGTATATCTTGTCTCTGTACCATTCTCAAAAGTCCTATAATCATAAAGCTGACCAAAATACAAGATTTTTTCATCTCATACCCCTTATTAAACAAGATACACACATGAACAAGAACTGAAGTATGAAAGAGAAGCAGACATTAACAGCCCTACCTTTTGCTGCTGGGCCTTCCGAATGGTGATGATCTGTTGTGCGACCACTGACAACACCTCGATGTCGATTCTGTTGAACTCGTCGAAGCAGGCCCAGGCGCCGGCGCTGGCCAGACCCTTGAAGAACTTGCCCATGGCCATGAAGTCCAGCTGGTCAGAACAGTTGAACACCACACACTGCACTGCCATGGCTTTACCCAGATCCTAGGGGGTAATAGCAAGCATTGTTAGCATAAAACCTTAGCAGAACAATCAAGAAAAACAAAGTCACCCCATTTTAGCATGAAAGTTCATCTGTGTTGGTATAATTCATAATGACAAAAAGGGGAAAATTTGGGTAAGTCCCATTTTATTCAGTGTCTGAACGTTTAAAGTCACCCCATTTTCTGTCTCTGACCTTATGACCTGTTATTCTGTCTGTCAATCTTCCTCCACCCATGTTCTGTCAACCTATGTGCTATCCAGATATATAAACCCACACCTCAGGCACCCAAAATCTGTACCCAACAACTGGCCCAAAAAATTTTCTTCTTGACTTTTAGATTTGCAATATGTACACTGGACATATGTTCAGAAAGTCACGTTTTAGAGGAGTGTGGGTCACGATATGCCCTAGGAACACTAAGGCCCAGAAAATTTGCCTGGTAAACTGTTTTTCTTGAGTAAGTCCACTGCCCCTTCAGTCAAGTCTTCTCATGCAATTTTAAATGTTTTTTCCTCAGAAATTATTATGTAATAAGAGGTGAAACAGTATTTATCAATATGGATATAAAAACTTCTTCAGTTCAGTTCGGTTTAATTCAATCACCTGGCATGTACCCAGAAATTGCAACATCAAATTTGTTGCAAGTTACAAAGATAATAAAAAATGCAATAAGAAAATGAACAAAGCTCTGGACATTAAGAATACGATTAAAAGCATTGTGGACACACCTTGGTTGTTTCAGTTTTTCCAGTGCCAGCTGGGCCAGCTGGCGCACCCCCAAACTTCAAATGGAGCGCTCCAGTCAGTGTGAGGTAGCACCTGTCGGTCAGCGGGGTGATGACCAGTCGTCCTGTGTTCCCCAGGTACTCGTAACCGTACGGGAACTCCGCGTTCACGGCGCGCACGTACAGGTTGTCTGTCACCCAGTAATATCTGCAGGGATGAACAAGATTATCAAAAACCCTTCTTAACTTGATTTCTCTATACATGCCACTATTCTGTGTACAGTGCCCTTAACAGTAATGCTACAAAGTGTCTGTCAAAGTATGGAATCTGCACAGTGTACAGGTTTTTTGTTTGTTTGTTTGTTTATTTGTTTGTTTGAACCATTCTTTATCCATTCACTATGCACATGCAGCAAATTGTATTTTTATGTTTACATTGTTTCACTGTTTCTGCTTCCTCTTCCTTCCAAACCAATAAGGTCAATGACCTGAACCAGACGTCTGTCACCATGGTGTTGGGTTACATTTTGCAATTCTATAGCAGGAGGGATTTAGACTCCTGTCACCATATATGAAATGTGTTTAATAATTAACAGAGCAGAACATATGTGAAGGTAAACATTATGCTTTGCAAATGTTACTAGTTTTGAAGTATTTTTGTAACATATTTTTGCAAAGTAATTTTTGTCGTCTCACCTGAGCTGACTGATCCACTCGAAGTCGTTGACGTTCTTGACCTCCAGTTCCACCATGTTTGCAACGACGTCACGTGCGTGCACCTCGATCACGATCAGTGCTGACAGGATCTCTCGCTGCATCTTGGACAGCTTGCCTCTGACCAGCCCCACAAGACCTGCCAACTATCGGGAAAAAAAACAACATTAAATCTGTAGTCTTCCGTGAATAGTTTCATCAGGTTGGTAGTTCACTGAATAAGTTGGAAAGTCATGCAGATATGTTTCCAAAATCATATTCCGTGGCTTGAGTAACTTTTTTTGGCATAAAACATGTTATTACCTGAATGTCTAACCTTCATCAACATATATTAGGTAAATTTTTTGTAAACGCTTTGCATTTTGGAACACATCTATTATCTAACAGCAGCGATATTATATTAGTGCTGTGCAATGTGAACCAGTCAGAATTGCCCTGAGGAAGGTGACAGACGATAACCAAAATGTTGCCTATTAAATATAAATCACTTGCGCTGTGTAAAAAGCGTCTCTTTATTCTGCAGTCTTCCACGAAACAAGGAGTTTCAGAAACTTCTGGAATTTTTAGTACATGCAGTTTGGATTTTTGTCAATTTAGGAGATTTTATGGCAGATTCTGCGAGCTTCAAGTTCAACCCGTTTTCTCTATCTGGCCCTTTGACATCCTCTCTTTCTGCCTGTCAATCTTCCACCCACCTGATCAATAAGAATGTCCAGTCTTTCGGGCAGCTTTCCTTCCTCCAGAGAGTCGGACACCTCCTTTGACCAGAACGTCTGACAGCCTGCGATGACAATCTGTCCAGGCCAGTCCAGGACCCACTCAGTTCTCTTGGTCTGCGATGCAAGGACAAAGTGGGTTAGAAGAGCGTATCATTGTCAAGTTTTAGCTCGCAGAAAGTTTTACTCTGACTATAATCTAAAGATTCAACGTACCAAGGAAATTTTTGTCAAGTACAGTGAACTGTGCCTGGACACAATGTCTCATCAGGAACTGCAATCCAACTGTGCATTCTACATATAATACAGAGGTTATAAGTGAAACTCATCTGTAGTATTAAGAAGAATAAGAGTCACAGATAGAAAAATAACTCGGTCTCTCAACTAAAATGTACACTTAACAGTTTTTGAATGGATTATTTACAAATGATGAGTTGGCTTCAGTGACCACTCTTTTCAATTCTTCAGTTTCTGGCAGCTTGGAGCAAATATCCAAAATTATAACATCTAAAGCCTTTATATCACATGGGTACCATCATAGGTAAACTAGGGACTGTCCAATGATTACTTACATCAGGGTAGGCTTCTAGGGACCGTCCAATGATTACTTACATCAGGGTAGACATCCAGGGACCGTCCAATGATTACTTATGTCAGGGTAGACTTCCAGGGACCGTCCAATGATTACTTACATCAGGGTAGACTTCTAGGGACTGTCCAATGATTACTTACATCAGGGTAGACTTCTAGGGACCGTCCAATGATTACTTACATCAGGGTAGACTTCTAGGGACCGTCCAATGATTACTTACATCAGGGTAGACTTCCAGGGACCGTCCAATGATTACTTACATCAGGGTAGACTTCTAGGGACTGTCCAATGATTACTTACATCAGGGTAGACTTCTAGGGACCGTCCAATGATTACTTACATCACATGAGGGTAGACTTCTAGGGACCGTCCAATGAATACTTACATCTGGGTAGACAGCCAGGGACCGTCCAATGATTACTTACATCTGGGTAGACAGCCAGGGACCATCCAATAATAGTCCTGAGGCTCTCCCTCATGACCCTCTCCACCTCCAGTAGCCAGTCCTCCACGTTCCCAGTCGGGTAGAGTTTCTCCGACATTGGAACACACTCTCCCTCCATGGAGAACATCTTAGTGATGGCCAGGTCCTCCTCAAAGTGAAGCTATAGGGATATTTTGGATAAATGGTACATTAGGAAATAGACCAATGAAGATACCCTTGTCTTTAGATTCATGTTTAATGTTATTTCCAGGACATTTGCAAGACATAGTTTCGCAATAGAAACCATGAAATAAAAAGAATGTAGTTGCAGAAGTAGTTTTGAATCGCCTGATATCCTCCTGTTGAACAACCGTCTGGCATCATATGCATCTCAGAATTGTTATATCAAGGACATAATGTCCCTGGTTATATGTTATAATTGTATTCATTTCAGCACCAAGGACAGGCATCACCAACTATACTATGATGAAGGATTCACTGGTTCACCCCTTGAACACCTCAGTAAAGGCCTGGTATAGAAGTGCAAAAATTTGACCAGAAAAAATGTCATAGCCACAAGCAGCCATGTTTTTAATTGATAAACTTCTAGTTTTGTGTGACGGAGATTTTTGTTGACTCCACCTATTATTTACGGTCTCAAACATTTCTGCATCAATGAGAAAACAAAATGAATAAGGCACGACAAGAGATGGAAGGAAACTGTTTTATCTACAATGTATGCCCATCTTACTACTAGGAAACTTACAGAATTTGAGAGCTCTCCACTGAAGAAAGGTAGTGGATGCTACCTAAAACCATGGAGGTAGAAAAAAGGAAAGGAGGGAGCTCAAACTTTCTGCCTATTGTCCGATGTTGGCCGCGGGCGTCAAAACTGTAATTGGCACGAACTTGTCAATTGCCCTGATTTGCGTAGCCCCCAGAGCGGCACACCAGAGTTTTCCATTGTTATTAATGTCAGTGACAAGACGGCATGCCCGGCATTTGACAACTATAAGTGTAGCAACTTTTATTCTACGGTAAGTTTGTATCAAATTTGAGGATTACTTCGATGAATGCAGGGAGGTAAGAAGCGTGTATCAAAGACGACAAACTTGACGGACGGCACGGCACTGCAACTATTTTCTAGTGACTAGACTTAATTGTTATTTCTAGTATCTTTATACCCCGATACTTGAAACAACAGGAGGTTCAGTATCTTTGGTCAAATCCTTGCTTGAATCCTTGTTTGAGGAACATGCACCGGGCCTACCGGTAACCACAATCAACCAAAGAATTGAGCGCATGTGTCACTTCAAATATTTCCTTGTGGTAGAAAAATAACAACAAGCAAGGATGTCCCGGTTACTACAAGAATGTCTCGTTTCTATTTGGGCCTTCGAGCACAAAATCCATTTCTACACACCTCCTCTGCTAGCAGAGAGGCACACAGCTTGTAGAATATGGCCACAAATAGTCCACTTTGCCGGAAAAATCGCTACTTTGCCAGTTACGAAAGTTTGGAAAATGGAACATAAACATCGTCAACTATCCAGAATAAATATCGGCATATCTAGAAAAAATCACACAAATTCATACTAGACGATTGTATTTGTTGAAATGTTCCAGTTCTAAAATGTTCGATTCGAGCTTTACAAAACACAAAAAACGCAGTAACTCGCCCATTTTTCGTCGCACAACAAACATAAACATATCTGCGTATCCGCCATTTCCCTCCGCTCCCGATGCTGACTTCTGCGCAACAATACGACGCAACCCAAATAAGGAAATGCTCGGAAACTCGGGTATGTCGGTCCCTGCTCGGAGTGGACTCGGCTGCCGTCGCTGGCAGTGATGTCATTTTCGGCTCATTTGCATAGCCATATATGGAATTCTGGCGGGAGAGACCGCGGCGAACATAGGCATCAAACGAAGTACCGCCGGGCCGGCGGACAATAGAAACCAGCGGGATCTAGCGCCGCAAAACAAAAGGCCGCGGCGGGTGCTAAATACGTCCTCCCTCCTGTCCTTTTTTCTACCTCCATGCTAAAACGTCTGACCGTTTCCAAAATTGTTTTTCAGCATTTCTAAATGTTACCTGGATGTCTAACCTTCACCGACGTAGAGTTCAAGGTAACTGTTTTTTCTGTGCTACCTGAGCCATGATAGAAAGAGATTTGATGAATTTGAGAGCTAGTGAAAGGTAGTGGATGCTACCTGAAACGTTTAACCGTTTCCAAAATCTATCCAGTTGCTTATTACCTGGATGTAGGAAATAAGATATGCCAAATGTACATGTAGAGAAGAAACTGTTTTGTCTGCACTCACCTTAGCCATGTTCTCGAAGCACTTCCTGAGATGCGGTTGGACGGCCTTCGGGTCCTTGGTCTGTGACAGGATCTCCAGAAGCTCGTCGTCGGACAGGAAGTAGAATCGTGGGAAGGCGGATCGCTTGGTCTCCAGGTACTCGCTGAGTCCCTTCTGTACCTGCTCCAGGAGCTTGTTACACTCCGTCAGGTTCTCCAACAGACGGGCGTCAGGGCACAGAGAGATCACCTGGGGAGGGGGGCGGGTTTGTTTGTTTTATTTGTTTGTTTGTTTTAGATGTACATCTAACGAAGGATATGTTCTTACATATAACGTTTTCAGTTAAAAACAATGTATAAGAAAAACTCTTAGACTACAAACGTCTAAAGAAGAGAGAAGAAACTAGTAAGAGTAGTAAAGCTTAAATATACATAGAACATAGCAAAGTTTCCCTAATTTTTAAAATATTTGTAGCTTAAACTTACTACATTTAGCCCCATTGGGGCCTGAATGTGAGGGCATGCTCCCACAGGAAAATTTTGGAATCTTGACCCTCTATTTGTAAGGTCAAATTTTTCTGGTAGATTAAGTTAGTTTAATGACATTCTTTTTTCATACATTCCAGACACAGATTTTTGTCTGTCAAAGATGATGGATTGGGCAAAATTTTTGTCTACCATGAGCAGCAAAATGCAAACAAAGTATGGGCACACAGACGCTGTGAACACACTTTCAAATTCAAATCCTTCTTCTTCCCTTCTTTCGTCAATTTAGATAATACGTAGGCCTTACTTAAACTTCTTCAGTATACAGCACATCAACCTAACATGCAGGAAGACTTGACGGGAATCGAACCCATGCCCAGCAGTACCTGTGGGTTGTCGTTGGCGTTCTTCATGATCTTCCTCCACATGCGGTCCATGGTCTGGAAGCGTTTCCCCTCCACGGGCAGCTGACGGTTGATGTCCTCCGAGCTGAAGATGGGCTCCAGGTACAGCCATGACCTCTGACACAACAGCCACTCATCCAGCACATCCTGAGGGGAGGGGTAACAACAGTGTTGATTTCTAATTTCTGTTTGTTACCTCCATGAAAAATGGAGGTATTGTTTTTGGCGTGTCTGTCTGTCTGTGTGTCTGTCTTTGTGCCTGTGTGTGTTTCCGCAACTTTTTAGTCAGCATAACTTCATAACGCCTTTATGGATTGTGATGATATTTGGTATGCTGATAAGTCTTAGGAAGACGAAGGTCAAGGTCAAATATGGGCATCCTGGTGGATGACTTTGGTACTGCAGCAGAACTTCCGGTTTTTGTATCTTTTGTCCTGGACATGCTATGGTCTTGACTTTTTGCATTTGCATTTTACATTTGCATAATTAATGAGGACATGTTGAAATGAAGTATGACAAAGCAAGCCCATATTTCATGGAGGTATGAGATCTCGGAACTCTTGTTTATTTTGCATTACTAAGGCCACACCAATTTGTTGGTTCACGGATTCACCCGCTTCATTTTTTTCTGATTTGCAAAAAAAAAAAAACATTTTAGGCTCTGAATCAACTCCAAAATGCTGATAATTTGGCCGCAACAGTTGAAGGAAGTCCAGGTTCTCTTCAGAGTTGTTACGGTTTTTCCATCTATCAATGGCTCCTATCATAGAATTTGGGGCTATCATAGGATGCCTAGACCTGTTTTTATTCTTTAATATCATTTTTGCCCTGTCACTTCATATTTTTTTCTGAAAAATTCCAAAAACCAACAAATCAAATTGGTGTGGCCTAAACAACAAAGTTAAAATGAAAATGTTATATATTGGTCCCAAGTGGTCTTCTCGGGTTGTTTTGATATTGTTATAATCATGCATTAATAAACAGTATATGAATATTAATGTTACATATTCTTTGTGATTTAACATTAAGCACCTTTCAGCTACAATGTAGGAGATTTCTTTCATATTGCAGTTTGCTCTCTTAGTGTGTTATTTTTCTGATTAAACACTCTCTAAATAGTAAACTTGGAAATTAAACTATCTAAAACCTACAAAACAAGTCATTTACACAAAATGTTTCTCACCTGTGTCATTTTCAGTTTGGACTCCCATGTGGTGATTCTCTCCTCAAACGGCTTCTTGTACGGAGAGAAGGACATGCTCTGTGTCATCACGATGTGGTCGTCCAGAAGCTGCGACGATTCGTCAGAACTGCGCAGGATGTACGTCCCTGTCTCCTTGTACGGGATTATCTCAAACTTGATCGGGTCCCACTCAGCCTCCATTTTGTCCAGGGCCTAGGACGAGACAATATAGAAAATACAGAATGAAAATGCTCATAGAGACATCAATGTAGGCTCTACTTACCTATAGTATCATGCATCCTGTACTTGCTTGTCTGGTCCTATAGTCATACAGGTTTTCTTTGCAATCTTCCTCCTCTATTGATCTTCAGTTTTCTTGCTCTGCATGTGTGTACATGTACGCATAGGCCCTACCTGGATCTACAAAACGTCTTCCTTTCTCTAAACAATAAAACTTTATCAACACAGTGTTTTTAATATATTATTGTAGTTAAACAACTTGAAACAGCATGTAGGTACAGGCAATAGCAAGGTTAAATTGTTTGATAGAATGAGAATAAAATAAAAAAATCATCAAGGGAAAGAAAACTGTCTGAAAAAATCATGACTGTTTAAATTCAACAGGCTTTAAAACTGAAAAACATCTTGTACTCTAACACCATCCAAAGAACAATTATTCAAAACCAAAGAACAATTCAAATCAAAACTTAAGGTGTCCTCCCTGGCTAATTTGGCATTTTAGCTTTCCATCGTTTTCTCACAAAGAAATCTAGAAAGAACTGTAGTTGTACTGAATATTTAAACCTGGGTACAAAAGAGTTATGAATATGATTTTATGGACCATAAAGATGACATCATCACATTTTATTGCCCCATATGCAATTATCTTTAAAGCTATAATATAGCACTTTGGTACAAGTAACTGAAATAAAAGTATGATTTTCATGTGCATAATGGTCAAAGCTACAAACGTACGTTTGCACAAATTGATATCTACTAATTATTTGTAGTTATTAGAGAATAACCTAATTGCCTAATTAAAATTTAGTTATTCTCTAATAACTACAGATAATTAGTAGATATCAATTTGTGCAAACGTACGTTTGTAGCTTTGACCATTATGCACATGAAAATCATATTTGTATTTCAGTTACTTGTACCAAAGTGCTATATTATAACTTTAAAGATAATTACATTTGGGGCAATAAAATTTGATGACGTCATCCATATGGTCCAAAAAATCATATTCATAACTCTGTTGTGCCCAGGTATCAAAATTCAGTACAACTACAGTTCTTTCTCTTTCTCTTTGTGAGAAAACGATGGAAAGCTAAAATGCCAAATTAGCCAGGGAGGACACCTTAAAACTCCTAACTGACATTTTTGTAAGGATCCTGTTGAAACACTTGCTAACAAAACCTAAACTCAAAATCATGAGAAACAGTAGAACAGGAATTCAAACTTTTGTTCCGATTCAACTGAACCAAACTGATCAGAACTTGTTAGAAAACAGCTATAATTCAGACTGTAGAAGTCCCCTAGCTAGTCAGGGCCCACCAAGCCTGTATTTCCAGTCTAACCTACATGTGTGCTGCTGCCTACATGTACACTAGACTGTCTGGCCTGCTGAACAGTGACTAGTCAGGACAACTTCACAGTCGTGTTCCCTACACTGGCTACAAACTCCTGATGGCTTCTGAAGCTTTGTACTGTCTATGTTTCCAATTTTCCTAAAAATCTGGGTTTTAATGACATAAATTTGCCTTTTTTGTCTTTGTCTTTTTGGCCATCTAAGGCCTGTTCTTTAATTGTGTACTGTTTTGCTTGTTTCTACATTTTACAGTTGATCTGACAGTGTATCGATATGTTTATTTCTCTCTATCAATTTAGCAACATTTTGCCTTAAACTTGTTTCTTGCTTTCAACTTCTGGAGGTTAGCTTGGAGCACATTCAATCATACTACTGTTAAATAAATGCATGATTGTACAAACCTCATAAAATTTAAATGGATTTCAAAAAAATTACAAGATTTCAATAGACACAGCAACTGTATCCTTCACAATATGATAATGTTACAAGCAGAGAAAGAAATCTTAAAAAGTTTAGAATTTCATGGAGAGATCACACCATGACACCTGTTGTTGAATGCTGACCAGTTTGAAAGGAGTAGTTTAAAGATTAGAAATTCACAAGTGGGAAATTCATTAAAGAAAGTTTTTAAGGAGAACCCTGGTTGTTGAATGCTGACCAGTTTGAAAGAATAAGTTTAAAAGGACAAGTTTAAAGATTAAAGATTTAAAAAAGTGGATAAGTTTCAAGAGAGATTTTAAGGAGAAGCTTGTGCTGTTGAATCCTTACCAGTTTGAAAGGACCAGTTTGAAAGGAACATTATGAAGGGGAAAGTTTAAAAGATGTTTAGAAATCCCAAAGTGGATGAGTTTAAAGAGAGATTTTAAGAAGAAGCCGAGTTATTGAATGCTTTTGAAAGGACAAGTTTAAAGATTATAAATTTACTTATTATAAAAGTCTTAGAGTGGAAGATGTTAAAGAGATCCAGTTTGAAAGGACAAGTTTATAAAAGATAGCAATGCACAAAAGTGGATAAATTTCAAGAGAGATTTTAAGGAGATAGAAGCAGTGTTGTTGAATCCTTACCAGTTTGAAAGGATAAGTTTAAGAATTAGAAATTCACAGTAGTGGATTAAAAATTTCAAGAGCAATTTTAAGGAGAAGCCCGTGTTGTTCAATCCTTAACAGTTTGAAAGGAACAGTTTAAAGATTAGAAACTCACAAAAGTGGATAAGTTTCAAGAGAGATTTAGAGAATTTCAAGAAAGATTCTAAGGAGAAGCTTGACGTATTGTTGAATGCTTTTGAAAGGACAAGTTTAAAGATTAGAAATTTGCTACTGAAATTAGAAGTGAAAAGAGAGATTTTAAGAAATTTTTACCAGTTTGAAAGGACAACTTTAAAGTTTAAAAATTTGCAAAAGCAGATGAGTTTAAAGAGAGATTTTAAGAAGAAGCCGTGCTGTAGAGTCCTGTAGTCCAGCCTGGGAACTTGACCGACCTGCTCGATGGAGTACTCCTTCCCAGCCACCTCTGCGACTTTAGCAATGACTTCGATATGGTCCTGCAACTTCATATCAAGACACTTGCTAAAGGTCAGACTGGCTTTGGGTCGGACAGGGAAGCCCAGTTCGGAGGAGAGCTGCTCCCAGTGGCGGTTGCGCATGCCGGGGTTACGCAGGCCCTGGATCAGCGGGATGTACGGGCGGAACTCCTCGATACCCGTACGCATCTCCGTGGCAACCAGCTGGCAGCCTGGAGGAGGTAATTTTGGAGAAAACATTAAGTAAGATATAGTTCCACCCTAAGGTAACATTTGCAAGGCAAATGAACTTTACCTTTGTATATGGTCTGCTCTGTTAATTCTTACTCAAACACATTAAATTTCATATGGTCAGACAGGAGTCTAAATCCCTCCTGCTATAAAATTGCAACATGATGTAACCCAACACAAGTTACCAAGGTAACAGACACAACATTAGTTTAGGTCATTGAGGTCACTGTTTCGAGATTAAGAAGAAGAAGAGGAAGAAGAAACTGAGCAAAAACAATCTTTTCCTTCGGTAAAAAAAATATTTAACTACAATGTGAAAATCAAACTGGATGTAATTCCGTAAGAGTAACACTTTTCATATAACAGTAGAGAAAACTTTTGTGAGAAACTGATTCTAACTCGCATTCAGCGATTTCTTTGCAGATTGCATACAGTGAATTGAAGGCTTGTGGTTGCCAAGAGAAAATATTTGTACATAAAAATTTTGACTAAAGCCTTCTTGCAGTTTTTTTGTGTGCATTTTTTTCGCCTTTCGGCGAGACCTCACCCTAGCTGCTCTTTCCACATGTACCTGGGGTCGTGTGGCGCAGCGGTAGCGCGTTCGGCTCGGGACCTAGAGGTCCAGGGTTCGATCCCCACCCATGTCACCGATCTTGTGCCCTTGGGAAAGGCACTTTACACGAATTTCCTCACTTCACTCAGGTGTAAATGAGTACCTAGCTTCAGCTAGGGACGTCCCTCGGATAGGACGTAAACTGGAGGACCCGTGTTTGAGGAGAGCCATACCTCGAGCACGTTAAAGATCCCACCACACCTTTCGAAAAAGAGTAGGGGCATGCCCCGGTGTGCGATGGTCCACATTCTACAACCCAAATACTACAGTGTAGCAGAATCATCAGCATGTTGATGTTGGCTACCTTAACCTCCAAGACCAAGACCAAGACCTGTTCCAGGTTAAAACCTACTAGTAGGTAACTTCAAGAAAAAGCAAAGATGACCCACCTGGTACATCCTTGAAGAGTTTGACACACTTGTGCATTGTCTTGTAGGAGTTGTTGACCTGTGTCTCCAGGGCTTCTGCGTCGATGGTGGTCAGCGGGTCGGTCATCCAGCTCTCGTGCCACTTGAGCCAGTCCGAAGTGGTCAGCCACAAGTTTCTGTACGGCTCGAAGTCACGCACCATCTTGGACAGCTTTTGGTACTGTGAGAAATGTCAAAGAAAGATGATGTTGGTTATCAAATTTGTATATTTGTTCATGCATGTAACATCTACGAAAGGTAGTAGATGCTATACCTAAAACGTCTGACTGTTTCCAAAATCATATCCAGTTGCTTGAGTAACTGTTTTTTGGCGTAGCGTAAGATGTTGGATACACTGAGATGCTCAGTTGGTTTTATGCTTGCAGTGAATTGGTTTGTTCAATGGATATGCATCTCGACAGAGAAGCAACAAAATGTAAAAATACCAACACAAAAAATTGCAGCAAATCGAGATACGATGTCATACATGCATGTAGTTAGTAGTAAATACATAGATGTACATGCATGAACAATGTACATGCGTGTTCAGATTTTATAAACCTTGTCATATTCTTAATATCTTTTGATAAGATTTATAAAAATTTGAACAAACAACTAACAAGAATACGTGCTGCAATTGTCCTGAAAATCATAAAACAATTAAAGCTGCAATTATATTGTGTTTACAATGTATGTTTATGAGAACTCAAAATTATGTAAACTGTATCTTTGTTAGAAATTCTGTCACACCCTTACTTTTTCCCTAATATGACCTCAATGAAAAGCTACTGATTTGAGTTTCTCATGAATAATAAAAAATTGTTCAAAAAGAAATTCTACTAATTTATTATGCAAAAGAAGTTTACATATTCTTTCTTCTAGTTACATCTTATACAAAGAATATAATGTCCTCTTGAAATATCCCATTCTTATCCTTACATCAGTGACCGGCATCTCGAACAGTCTCTCCCTGTTGTTGTAGGTCTGAGCCAGCTCCTGACTCTCCTTCAGCTGTTTACTGATGCGTCGCACCTCGTTGGCGATCTCGTGGGCCTTACTGATGTCAGTGTGGGCAGCGAAGCCAGCAACAACCATCTGAAATGACACAAAACACAGGGTTAATACAATTAGGATGCTGTCAATTAGAAGAAATAGTGACTATTCTACTTTCAAATTGGTGAATTTGGCGCTTTCTAACATTCTTGAGTACAAAGATAGAGCACTGACTTTCCAGTGCTAGTTGCTACTGCTAAAATCCTTGAATACCACTGTGACAGTTCTGTAATTCCTGATTTTTTTTGCGGTGCTTATATGTTTGTGCTTTTTGCGCCCACTTCTGTGCAGCGAACTTATCCCTTAACAAATAATTGGCAGACCTTCTTTTTTCTGCACCTGTCACAACAGTGAATATACAGTTCCATTTTTCTCAGATCGTGAATAAAATTTGCTACCGTGAACATAAAGTGAATTACAGTTCATCATTTCTACTTCACAGAATTCTCTGTTCTGGAGTACAAACAACTAACTGAAGGTATATCACAGTCAACATCAACTTGCCAGTGCTTATTGCTAGACTGCAGTGCTAAAAAAAGTACAGTAACTATTTATCACAATGTAGTTGCTTCAGGGACCCAGGTCACATTTGTTTTCAAATAGATATTTTAGTACCGTCTAATTTTTACATTGTACTGAATTTTTACATTTTGGCGGCATGCGCCGCCGAAATGTAATAATACGGAATCTATCCTTCTTTCTTTGTTTCTTTCGTTGGTAGTTTGGTAACACTGCAGGCCATCCAATACCTGTTTACTTCTTTCCGGTTTGTGGTATATGCAATAGAATCAAACCCGTAACCACTGGCTCTCTACTGTTACTGACCTGCAGCGTGTCCAGTCTGTCCTGGAAGTTGTTCTGGTCAGACAGCTGGATCTTACGGAAGCGTTCCTCGTCCTCCTCCAGCTGCTGCAGTGTCATGTCCATCTGGTCCACGATCTTGTAGGGCCAACCAATCGCTGTCCACCTGACAACATAAAAATTAACACACTCAGTGTTATATTTCAGAAAATATTATGAAAAACTTAAACTGTTCTCCAACTCAAAATTTGACTCACCAGAAATTTTCGACTGAATCACTCAGTCTTCCTCAGCTATCTGCACGGAGCCGCTATGGGCTCACCTGTCTCCCCCATAGTGTGCAATCTTTATCTGGAATATTTAGAATGACTTCAGACAACCTTTGACCCTTTGCTGACGTCACACGTGGGAAAAATCACGTGTCCACAGCATTTGGGTCAGATAGCTGAGGAAGACTGAGTGATTCAGTCGAAAATTTCTGGTGAGTCAATTTTTGAGTTGGAGAACAGTTTAAGTTTTTCATAATGTAATTTACCAACTCAGATGAACTTTCATGCTGATTCAGAAAATGTTATTGGTTCTTAACCACTGTTATCAAAGTCAGACATCACTGGTAGCTTGAAAGTTGTTAGCTGTGTTGGTAGAAGTGATTCTGAGACTTTCTGAAACTTTCTGAAACCTTGGATCCACCGCTCACCAAGTCACTTGTTCTATCTGCATAACATGAAGCAATGGATTGCTCATTCTCTGATAGAGACTGCAGTTTAAGCCAGTGAAAAATTTGGGATTAATTCCAAGTTCTTATAAGTTGGAAATTACAGACAGTTGACCCTGATTCAGAATACCATGATTATTGTACATTATATACAAATCTTTCAAAACAAAATAAATCATGTCTGTCTGTTAGTATTTCCCACTTACTTGGCGTTGAAGTCATCCTGTGACAGGTTGTAGTAGAACTCTTCAATCAGTTCATAGTCTGTCATAGCCTTGTTGATAGCCTCCTGAGGATGGGAAAATGGTACTGGTCAGATAAAGACATGGATACTGACTTCTTCAGCCTGATTTCTAGTCTACTCCAGATGCTGTTGCAGGGTCACCAAGATGTTTGTCACACAAGTCCACTTTCAATTAATTTACTGTTTGTTGCACAATTTTCTCACAAAAAGGTTGTAATAGACCACAGGAAGAATAGCCTTTTATGAGGCTAATTGTGGATCTGAATAAAACTGAAAACTGAAACTAGTTTTTCTTTTTTGTGAGCAATAACAGTTGTTTTTTTTAATAATCTTACGTCAGTCAACAATCCTTCACTCTGCATTCATTTCTTAATTTTTTACCAACAATTTTTCCCTCTATTCTCTACAAATTTTTGCTCACTAACACTCACTCCCCCATATTCAGATCTTTTCTAGTTTGTGCAGATTTGAAAGTAGGATGTTTTATGGCAAACCTCGTGTGTCTTGAGGGCTTCAGGAATGGTCTTCATCCACTCCCTCTGTTCTGACAGCTCCTCGATGGAGTTGGGCTTGTCATACAGCTTCCTGGAGATCCCCTTGAAGGCTTCACAGGCCTAGTAGAGAATCAAACATCATAAACATACATTTGTACATAAGAGAGGTATCGTATGATCGTAAACACGAGAGATATCCACTAATACTAGACTATTGGACTTCTAAGTTTGAGCATATAACACTGGTCACTTTAAATTTGGAAAAGACACTAACAATTGGAAAATCAAGCAGTGTAACTGTAAACCCTTAAGTGTGGTATCAATCTAAAGCTCTCATCATCAGGCACTCTTCATGTGAAAATCAATGATCAGTGATGTTTATAACTCCAGTTATGATTGATTGAAAATGCTTGTGGCCTACCAGGCTGAGATCTTGGCCTACTAGTCTGAACTATGTGGCCTGGACGGCCAGATTCTGTGCCCACTGTGCTCAACTCCCAGGGCTACCAGTCTGACCTACTTAGGCTAGACGGCCGTGAAGGCCTAAAACAACCCAGACTACTAGTCCTGTTCTAGCCTGGTATCCAGCCTTGTTAGCTTTAGTCCGCTACGAGCGGATCTTGGGTAGCGGACTAAAGCTAACAAGGCTGGATACCAGGCTAGTCCTGTTCTGGACTGGTAGGCTGAGGGGATCCGGATAGGGTGTCCTGCCCTGTAACCTGCAATTTTCCATCCGTCCACTAGGGCTAACTGATAATCTAGACTACCAGTCTGAAAGTTCAGCCTGAGATGGCCAGAATCAGAACCACTGGGCTGAGCCTTCAAACACACACAGGCATATGCACATGATGTAGAATGTCTGTGTGCTTATACCAGATTGAAGTTAAGTTCTACAGTGTCCTGTTTAGAGTTTACTTGATATGCAATTTTGCCACAGAAAATTAGTTAATGTATACTGTAACAACTGCAATATTCTTCTGCTTGCAAGTCGTCAGCATTTAGAAATCACGATTTGTGAACTCTTACATTAGATTCAAACAAGTGAGCGTGCAAACCTATATCAGGGTGGAGAGATACATGTACAGTACATGTCATTTTAATTTAGTGGATTGGGCACTTACACTATGGTGTCCATGAGGATGATTTGCTACATGCTCTTGACCCAATGACAGTCCCTCCACCCCCAAAATCTGCTTTTCTCACCAACACATTCCACTAGAAGAGAGTCTGCATGGGGGGGTCCTGGCAACGGTTAACGGTAAATTCAGCAGGGCCGATATCGCTTAACGGTAAATTCAGGACGGTCGGCAACGCTTAACGGTAAATTGACAGGCTTTTTTTCGAGCTGCACTGGATTTGGTATCTCGCTTTGTGAGAAAAGGTGATCACTGACAAAATTACGTACACCTTACATGTAATGAAGCACGCAATAAAGGTATGTGTTCCCTGTGTTTCCCACCTGCCCTGGTCCCCTAATGCGTCCACAAATAAAGGGGAGTCCGAGTCGACGTCGGCCAGCTTGCATTTTTTCAGTCTGCCTAGTTTTACCGATGGATTTTGAGAGGGGAGCGCCGAAGGCACTCATAATCTAGGGGGGTCCGGGGGGGATGCTCCCCCGGGAAATTCAGGATTTTTAAGCCTTCAAAAATGCAATTTTGAGAGGCAAATCATGGTGTTGAGAGCGTTTGTCGGTCCTTCTAATGTTTTCATATTTTACTCAAGATTTTTGTTAATTTGCCTTGTCAAGGTTGACGGATTCGTTAAAAAAATTCTGTAACTCTCCGCAAACTTACGGAAATTGACGGGAAAGCTGGTTCTGGCTAGCGCAGAAGCGAGAGTCGAGCGCCAAAGGCGCGAGCAATGTAGGGGGGTCCGGGGGCATTCTCCCCCGGGAAATTTTGTATTTTTAAACCTTCAATGATGCATTTTCCTGCACTTTGAAAGGCAAAATTAGGCGTAACGAAGAATTATTCATTAACGCTTAACGCTGAATTTAGGATGAAAAAAACGTTTTACGTTGAATTAAAACGACCAATAACGCTTCACGAGGAATATACCGATAACGCTTAACGTTGAATTAGAGCAGGCCGGCAACGATTAACGGTAAATTAAAATAGCCCATAACGGTTAACGAAAAAGGGCATGCAGACCCTCCTAGAAGGTGCACTCCAAGAGTGACAGGGAAAAATTCACTTTTCACAAGGGAAATCATGGATCAGGCCAAGAATGGTGGGCATCTCTGTGACTGTACCATCCAACTGAGAAAACACAATTAGTTCTGCTGGTATCACATGTAGCTGGGCGGGAAAGTTTGAGCTGGGAATCTTGCTGTTTTTGACCAACAAGACCTGGTGACTGGTGACTACCCACTGCTCAGACTGCTTGTATGATTGGGTAATTGCAACACAAATATATGTCTTCATGTGTAAAAAAAATGGTACATGTATTAAGGGCAGCTGAGTGAGCTAATTCTACAGTGTGCCCTTTCCCACATGCTCTGAGGGACATGATGGAATCAAGAGTTGCAATCGTATAGAAGAAAAAGGACACTATTAAAATAAATTAAGCTAGAGATCTAAATTAATCAACAGTCTTTGAAGAAATAGTCCTGAACTTCAGTGATTAAATTAGAAAGTCCGGCATTGATTACTGAGAAGTTCAGAACATTGACTTATTTTGGTATCAATTTGAAAGAATATACCAGTATGTGTACAGTCAATTTACTCTAAATTTTACTGATCATTTTGATTTCTAAAATTTTTAATTTTTATGCTAAGACTGACAAATAGAGAATGATCTTTGGAATTCTGGACAGACATCAAGGCAAGTTACAATTGTAAAACCAGAACTTGGAAACTGAATGAAGTAACGTTACATGTATATTAGACTTGCCAGTTTCCACTGGCCATCTTTCCTAAAAAAGAGACCAAAGTGAGACAGAATGCAAGAAGGATATGCAGATTGAAAGAAAAGACTGTGCTCCAGCTTTACCCAACTCCAGTGTGGTTTGAAAAGGCAGCAGTGACCTAGATATGTCAATGGTCTGTGACAGGTAGTCCCTACAGTACATCCCTCAAGGAGACCTGATCTCCTGTCTCTGAGATACTTGGACTTTTCTCCTAGTTCCAAAGAATTTTATTTCATTTTTCACAGATGGAAGTTATAACACAAGGAGTTGGCGCTGAATGGCAGCCGCTCCAGACCCTTGCGATTAAGCCCCAAATAATTGTAAGCTCCTTTTTCAATGCCTCCTTTTCCTACTGTCTAAGATAAATTCAACACAAAGGGCCTCTTTGGAGCTACCTTTACAATATGTACTACTACCATTTTTCTGTCGCTTGCATGTACATTGTACATGTATACAGGATATTCTAACTCCCATCTGGGCAGCTCACTGTAGTGGAGGTCGTCATACCAAATTAACCAAGCCTGTTCAAGACTTGTGTATCACTCACTGCCTATACTAGTTAACCACTGTCTCAAACCAAACACCCAAGTGGTACCTTGCTGCTGTCTTGGTCTTCACTGTCTTGGAGGTTAAGGTAGCCAACATCAACTTGCTGATGATTCTGCTACACTGTAGTATTTGGGCTGTAGAATTTTTTGGACCATCGCACACCGGGCATGCCCCTACTCTTTTTCGAAAGGTGTGGTGGGATCTTTAACGTGCTCGAGGTGTGGCTCTCCTCAAACACGGCGGGGACCTCCAGTTTATGTCCTATCCGAGGGACGTCCCTAACCGAAGCTAGGTACTACTCATTTACACCAAAGATAAGTGTAACTATGTTTTGAGGCTACTGAGGGAGTTTTTTGCTGCCGAAAACTCAACCATAACGTTGGGCGTCGAAACCGACATTTTGGCGGCGGCGGCCTGCGCAACCCTTCCCATGCTGTTTTTGAGCGAGGTGTTCTAAATAGAACAGGGGGTGGGGCTTACGGTGTTAGACCCATTGTACATTTACATTGTAGAACATAGAAACCAAATGGGTTTGACTGAATATGTAACATGGCTGCATGGTGAATCCGTATTTGGTAGGGTTCAGTGTTAATTACTTTGTCAGTCTGTGCTTCCCTGTCTTGGCTTGTGGGCCAAAGCACTCTTTTTTTAATTTTAAACTGGCACATTGTGAAAAGCAGTGGTAGCATGTAGGGATTTCATTTCCCAACTCCATTGTTCCAGATAACACTGGGGTCTAATGAGGACACACACGTGTACTACATATGCCAGAAGGATGGCAGGCGTAACTAAGTGATTTATCCAAGGTACCCAAGTAACCATGGAAGTCTTGCACCTTCTTTCCCAGAGCCATCATAACATGGACATCATGTACATAGGTTTTGGAACCAATTTAAATATACTGTAGTTCGTGAACTCGAATGCTCTTGGGTAGAAGTAGACATACTGAGCTACAATAATAACAACTGCTTATATACACGTTGCATACACCTGGTTGACCTTTAGCAAGTTAAAGACAGAATCATGAACAGATATTCATATATTACCTTAAAACTTTAAAACTGTTTAAAGGCCACTACATATTGTTCTTCATCAGATCTGCTTCCATACAATGACCACTTTGACCCTCCTTCTGAAAGATTGTACCATCTGAGCTATTACAAACTCATCTGTCATGCCTGTAATCCTTAAACAAACAAAGTCGACCTGTGAGCCCCAGAACAACTACTGGTCAGGGTATTGCTGGCTCTGTTCCTTGGGCATTGCATTAAAGACCTATTTTACACAATTTTAAAGTGGTGCATGCCAAAACTGTGTCTTAAGTTCTTTTGGCATTTGCCTAAGGCACATCTACAACAAATTTCAGGTCGTTTGGTTGGAATATAAGGGCACAAAAGCCAAAAATGTAATATTTTCTCTGGAAAGACCACAAAAAAGCTGTTTTACACAAATTCGAAGTAGTGTTCACTAAAAGTGTAACTTAAGTTCCTTGGGCATATGCCTAAGGCACCTCTATACCAAATTCCAGGTAATTTGTCTGTAATATTAGGGCACAAATGCCCAAAATGAACATTTTTTTCAGGAAAATAGCAAAAAACACCTATTTTACACAATTTCAAAGACAATGTTTAGCAAGGGGTACAAAAGTAAGTAAGGTTT